GGGGGGGGGGGCGCGCCTGTGAGCAGTGACTGAGCTGGCCATCAGGCTATGTGCTCACACGGTGAAGACAGGACACCGAGGACAAGGGCCATCTGTGTGAATGGCCTTCAGGGACCGGGTGATGTCTATGACGTCAGCCACACAGGATGCAGTTCACTGGGAGGATCTCTGTGGGCTGTCACTGTGAGCTACTCCTCTACCTGCCAGTAAACCCCACAGAGCAACGGGGTTCAGATCACTATCTATGAGAACCATTCCTTAAAAATGTAAAGGGACTGACACTGGAACAAAATTCTACACAACCTCCAGGAACTCATGCCAGGGTTGACCATCTCTTAGGAAGCCCTTTGAGGCAATGTAAGGAAATAATAAGCAGAGTGAAAAAGTCACGTCTGTGTCACGTGTCTGGTGAAACCACCGAGGACAGTAAAGCTGCTGCCTTACCCCGGGGGTAAGGGCTGTGGCCTCTCCCACGTGGTCGTTCGAGTGTTATGATCCACATAATAGGTTCTCCCGTGAGGGTCTTTCCTCTGCTCCCACCTTTAAAAGAAGGCAAATACATAAATAAAGACAACAAATAAAACAACCTGAAACATGACTCCTCATCCCCAGGAAAAGCACAGATAAGTTTCACTTTAAAGCCTACATACATGTTGTAACATTGTTTCTTCTCTCAGTTATCAGTGCTTTTTAAGTTCTTAAGTATTTCCCTTCTCAGTAACACTGTTGGAAACTCAGTAAGTACAGTTAGCAGAGGAAGACAGAATGATACGTAAAGTTCTTAAAGGATACTAACTGACAGAGTTCCAATCACAAGAAAGAGAAATGTAACCTGGGCAGAGGAGCTTCCTGTCCAACATCAAGCCCAAGGAGTAGTCAGTACAGCAGTAACACCTGACTGCCTGCAGTTTCAAAACCACAGGCCCTTTGGAGTGGGTGCTCCTGTGCCCTGACAGCCAGCCAGCCCCCCCCCCCCGGGTGTGCAACCGGGGTTGCCTCTCTGCACAGGACTGTCCTCTCTGGTTTAGGGGAGCCTGCAAATCCGCAGACACCCACCACTGTATCTTCTCGATTCCACTCCAAGACTCCTTTACTCCCCCCTCATGCTTTCCTGTGTGACCCTGTGTCTTCCCTCCATTCTTCCCGTGATGACACAGACAAACGTCTTAAACACACAAAACAAACACCTGGTCTTCTCAAGTTTAACATTCTTGTTTCAATTTAAAAGTAGAATAAATAGAAAATATTTTCCTCCTAAACACAGGGATCAACTGAATTTGATTTCTGAGTAGCAAGGCCTGTGATGGTTTTTCCCTCTGCGGTGACCCCATAGGTACAGCTGCTCCGTGAACCAGTGCACAGAGGAAGCTGCCAGTCTCTCCCGCAGGCACAGACACACATGTACATGCACACACTCTAACACTCACCCTCTTCCCAACTGTCCCAAACACATGCTCCGGGCCTTCCTTACATGACTAAGGAGACGCTCCTGACAGCTGAGCCAGGACCAGGCAGGAGTGCTGCCCCACCCCACCCTCTGCCTCCTCCCTGCTCCATCCAGTCAGTCGCCATCATCACTAACTGCAGGGACTTGTCTGCCGCTATGGGCAGACTCCAGACCCCCTTCCACACATCAGACCCACCTCCCCATCTGTGCCTTTCCCTTTCTCTGCCTGGTTTTGGAGAACAGGGTCCTGGTAGCTGCCAAGGAAGGACACCCGGCAGGAAACTCGGATGAGCCCAGGCGTCTGTGCTCACACTCCGCACTTGCTGACACAGACCATAATGTCCCAGACCACACCCCTCAGTGGGAGAGGCACTGGCCACTGTCTCTCAGCTTCTTGAGTGGATGCTGAGAAGTCTGATGCAATTCTGAGCAGAATGAGCCCGCCTGTTCCTTTTGAATAACCTCTGGAAATGCTTAAGGTTTTTTCTTCAGCCCCAATGTACTAACATTTCCGCAAAAGCAGAGAAGACTCATTAATGTTAGTATCTTAGAGCCAAGCACCCTGTAAACAGCCTGTGAGTGACCACAGGAGAAACGACCAGGTGAAAGGCACACAGAATATGCTTCATGACCAGGGGAAATGCAGAGGGACTGAGAATCACTGAGCGGACACGAAACCGCAAGTCTAGAACAGTCCATGGTCAGGGCTGGGTGGCCCCCCACTCAGGATTCAGAGGAAAAGGCAGTTTGTTCTCATGCTACGGTGTGGGGAGCAGAGCTCAGAGGACGCAAGAGCTGAGGCTATGCTGGGTAGAGCCCTGACTGGACAATCTCAGCAAAAGGAAGAGCAGAATGAAGGGCCCTGCAAGGTAACAGCAGTTCCCTCTCCCTTGGACCCCAGGCTCTTCGGGGAGAGGAAGGGAGTACTCTCAGCTCCATGGGCACTGGCTCTGCAGCAAAGCATGAGTCAGACTCCAAGCCCAGTCCCTGGAGAGTCTGACACTCAGTCAACATCAATCACCACCACACACTGAAAGGGAACGTACCCCGAGGGCAGGCTCTCCGTGCTGGTGTTCCTCCCAGGCTCCATACTCCCGCCTGGCTGCCGGGACTTGGCAGCTTCGAAGGCAGGACTGCTTCCAGAGGTGGAGGCCACAGGGTCGAGGTCCCCGCCGGCCCCGGCCCCAAGTGCAGTGCTGTCAGAGAGGATGTCGCTGTGCTCCAAGGCCGCTGGCGCTTCTGGACCCAGGGCCTCCTCTCCAGAAGTTCCAGTGCAAGCTGACGACGGGGCACTGTCCTCAGGGACCCCCCCAGAGGGAGCACTGTCAGCCGGTGTAGGTGAGGATGAGTCTCCATTAACTGCAGAGGACAAATGAACAGGCTATCCCGGTCGACACAGCAGCCAGTCCCTGCACAGTTGCACCCACACTCACACCCACCCACACACTTGCACTCAGCAGAGCCCGGCGCACGTGCAATGACACCTCAGGTACTGATGAACACATTGTTGCTCACATTTTAGAGATGAACGTGTGGGAAAAAAACTAAAAAAAGAAACATTTATATACAAAGAACCTTAAGGAAAGCAAAACCAACATTAGGATAACAAATGTTTTTTCTCCAAATTATCAATTCTGAAAGTCTGCATGGGTTATAAAAACTTTAAAACGGCGCTTTTCTACATGCAGACAGGAGCTGGACATGCAGCAGTGGGGACACTGTGGCACTGACTGAGCCAGCAGTGCAGGGCGCAAAGCACTCCAGGACCCGGCCCTACACGTTCTGGAGAAACAGCCCAGCACTGCGTCTGTTGTAAACGTGATGGATCCACTTCACCTACAGTCACTGTAAGAGTGGGTGTAATAAAAACTAGAACAAGACGACAACTGAACAAAACCAACGAGAAGGTTACACAGCACAGCTCTGAATGAAACAGGAAGAGCCATCAACAAGAGCGCTGGGGTTGCCAGGCAGGTCTGCACAGACTGAGGGAGGGACAGCAGGGGTCAGACAAAACTGCACAGCGAGGTGGACCCAGTGGTCCTGCACCAAGTGTGGGAGGTCTGGGGTCAGGACCTCTCGTCTCACCCTCAGGTGGCCTGTGTGTCCAGCTCCCTGACCCTGTGCTAGTCGTGCAAGACGACTACATGGGGGAGGCGGAGGGAGTGTGAGACCTTCCCATGCATTCTGCAACTTCCTGTGACTCTATAGTTATTTCAAAACAAAACACTAAAAACAAAAGTCCAATAAACTTGTGAACTATTCAACTATGGTCTATTTTATTAATAAAATAATTATTATATATTAGAAAGTGTCATTTTACACTACAGGTGAGAGAGGGAAGTGGGAAAGAAAAAAATATTTCTCTTACATTCTTACCCGTCTAAGGACTATGTCATGTTAGACTACTGAGTGTGGACGGCGCCTGAGACAGTCCTGGGAGGTAGTTACCTGAGTACCACCCTCTTTCATAAAAGGAGTCGCTGGGTTTGAGGAGTTAACTTGTCCAAGGTCACATACTGGTTACTGTGTTAAGCAGCAGAGCTGGGATTTGAACTGCGTCCTCTGAGAAGCCAGGTCTCATCCTTCTCTGCATCATGACTCCTACTACTCAGCTTAAAACAAGACCAATATTCACAGCAACTGAGCTCATGAAGCGATCCCCTAAGCAAGACTCGGAAGACTGGGGGAGCCGTCAGGTCCCTTTCGTCTCTGTAGAAATCCTTGTCTCAAGGTCCTCATTTAGCTCAGGCCCAGTCCCTTGGCATCCACACCTCACGACTCTGTGGACTCAGGACGGTGACAGGACACACACACATGCACCACACTAACCCCGAGCAGGTCTGGGGCCCAGTCACTAAACACAGTGATGTTCCTGCAGCAAAGGTAGGTGCTCGTCCTAAGCACGGTGAACTCAAAACACCTCCAATCAGTTCTACTCATTCTGCCAGCAAATGAGTTTACAAAAGAACACCTTTCAGCTTTAATGATTTTAGGATTGTGGTTGTTGGGGGTAAGGGACTAAAAACCTGTCACGTGTCAGACACAGCATGCACGTTCCCACTCCCACCCCAACAAAGAAATAGATTTTAAAGTCCTTAATTCAAAAGAACAACACCATCTTTACACCAACACCGCGAGAGGCCCATTCCCTGAAACTATACCTGCATCCATCCTTCCACTACAGGGTGACAGACACTATGCAAGTCACTGGCCAGTGGCTGCTACCAGCACACAGGTTCCGGAAGCCGTGCGGACCGGCCAATGGAAGGACAGCGGGCGATTGTTTCATCAGATGTCACCAACAGTAATCAGGAGGTGAAAACAACCACTATGCTGGTTGGGGGGAAGTTATTTGAGGCTATAGCAGCATAAAAGACAAACCCCACAACTCTGACACTGAAAACCCACACACAGCAGTGCGGGGACAGCGGAGGGCGGACCAAAGGCAGAGCTGGGTGGCAACCATGTACCCCCCCCCCC